GTATGTATGTATGTATGTATGTATGTATGTATGTATGTATGTATGTAGGTATGTACTGTAGGTAGGTATGTATGTAGGTAGGTATGTATGTATGAACATGACATCTGACAAACAATCACAGGCTTATCACTTGTAAATAACTTAGAAAAAAGTGAAAAAACTACAGAAGAACTAAAGTGATTTATCAGACCTAGTATAAATAGTTCCAGGCTCTCATTGTATTATTCTACAATTCACTAATTTTGAATTTGATGCTTGAAACAGATTCCAAAAAACCTATGGAAGGGGCAGCAAAAGACTGGAAAAGTTTGGAAAATTCACAGGTGAAGGTGTTCAGTTGAAACAGATAATGTGTTGTGACTGAGTAACACAAGCAGATGCAAAATGCTGAGAGATTGAATACTTTGTGAAGCACTGCATGGGCAAATTATCCATCAGTTTTCACCACCTCTGCTCCAAGAATAGAGAGAATCCAGAAACATTCCTGCCTACATTGTCCTGTAAAGCGGGATTTACAAACCCCAATCCTTGAGGGCTTTTGTCCTGCAGGTTTTTAGATGTTTCCGCTCTGACCACACCTGACATTGAATAAATCTCTTCAAGAAATTGTAAAATTCTTCACAGGCCTGCGATTTGTGCAATGATTTGAATGTGGTGTGTTAAAGCATATGTTAAAGCGGGGAAACATCTACAACCTGCAAGCTAGCGAAAGTTCTGTACGCTCCTCTCCAACAGAAGCCACCTCAGCGTGTGCTAAAAGGTTTATTTTTATTTATGTATTTATTCTTTGGGTGGGCTAGTCACTGTCATGAGGTTTAAAGTGTACTGGAATGTCATGTTTGACTCTTGCCACCTTGGGCATGGTAACCTGTTTGCATTTTCAAGTACCAAGAGGAACTCCAGTTGCATTCACTCAAGCTTTTAAGAATCCAATGACCAGGATGACTGAAAACTACTAACACATATTTAAGAACTGTTTTAAGACGGTTTGGTAACCGTCAGTTTGAGCTTTATACACTATATCTGTGTAGTTTCTGTGTTTGGAAGTCATGCTGTTCTGTTGTTATGTATGAACACTGCCCCAAGTTCTTAAGAAATGGAGTTTGTTTTATGATGCATGTGATGGCACATAGGAAATGTAGTACAGTCGGATGACATCTGTTGTGTAGTTTTGCAGTACCTGTCTCTCCCCACAGATTATCAAATATGTTGATCTCAGGTCTTTGCTCCTCTTCCTCATCTTCTTCTGGAAGATCCAATAAGTATGAAACCATCTGTACACAAATTCAGCTATCATCAAATGTATGCACGCATTTACAAAATAAAAATAAAAATAGTATATGGCATCTGTTTTTAAAAAAAGTTTTTATTAAGAACCATGACCTCGTGTGAGACTTACCTCCACCTGGCCCATACCAGCTGCTGCAATAAGAGCCTGCTGTACTGCCTGGCTCTTGCTTGCCCCTCTCTGGCTGCAGCAGGATATGCAGCTCCAGTCAGCGGTCTTCAATAGGAAGTGCAGCAACTCCAGATGACCCTGCTGGGCTGCGAGAACCAGTGCTGACCGACCCAAGCTGTCTACGTGACCAACCTGTGTGCCCAAGTTGTGTAATAGCTCAGTTTTGTTAACAACAGTCTCAATGAGGGACAACAGCTTTAACAATCTATTGGTTCACGAGGATAATGTAGCATTTAGTCATGTGAAAGAGGAAGCTGTTTATGTGTAACTGAATTATGACACAAAATATTCTGACTTCAGACTTAGAAGTCTTTTATAGAGTGACTAGTAAACATTTACACTTTTCGGGAATAACAAAGCATGTCTTTACACATAATTGAAATCCCACAGCAAAACAATCCATCAGGCACAGTGGCAGTCAGCTACCTTGGCTCTGTGGTTGCTTAACATGGTGGCAATGTCCAGATGACCAGCAGCAGAGGCAAATCCCAGAGCAGTCAATCCATCATGGGACTTAGCGTGTACCTAAGAAAAGCGCAGACAGAAGTCCAGCATAAAAAACTACACATTCAAGAAAGAAAACGAGAAATCGTGAATAAAGATTTTCTTTTAAATAACCTGAGCCCCGTGGTCAAGCAGTAACGCTACAGCATCAGCATGGCCCAGGTGGGCATGTACACACAGCAGGGGTGCACTATTGAGGACATCGCAGCGGTGGTCCACATTGGCTCCCCCCAAAATCAGCAACCTGCTCACCTGGGCAGAAACATAGCCCAGTTAGGATCCATGGATCATTTAGACATTGGTGCATATGAACACTGTGCTACCTTGATGTTGGGGGTGTAGATGTTGCGCAGAGATGATAGAACGGGGCTGAGACTTGCTGTGCTGTACGACAACCACAGCCCCTGAAGGACAGAGGAGGAAACCCCAAGCTTCTTACTCAGACCCTGCAGGATGAGAACATGATGTACATGGTCAACTTTTTTTTGCCAGAAATACATTTCTGTTCTGCTGTACATGTTTGGCACTCATTCACAGTTTACATCAAACTGAAAAATACTTGACCTGTGTACATGTTGGGTAAAACCTTAAAATTACATCTTTATATAATTGAGACATTACAATGGGGGACTTTTTATTTTCAAAGGAAAAATCCTTACTAATGAATCTTTACTTGAAGCAAAATGACTTATGCCTGACACTGAAGCTAATGCAAAGATTAAAGGGAGATTTAGAAGTGGACATGAAAAGAGAAAATCAGCTGATCTGGAATAAATGTAATAGCGTTCTTTTTCATAATATTCACTCGGTGTCTCGCTATGGGATGCAGCCTCCTGCAGCCCTGATAGAAGCATTTATCTCAATCCGCCAATCTTGATTGGCCGGTGAAAGTGTTCGTCATCGCCACGCTCAGTAACCCCGTTTACGAAAGCGTGCGCAGATCACGTCACCTCAATTCAAAACCTCTTCTCACCTGAGAGCTTATCTCATGACAGAGCCTTACTTTGCTAGCTTAACTGTCCACAGACGAACCTTTCTAGCTTCCGTCGCCGGACGCTAGCTCTGTGCTCTGGCTTCTGCTCTGTCCGCTCACTCCAGACCGGACTGGTGTCATTTTAATTCCGTTCACTCCACGGCGGAATCCCTCTCGGCTCCCCTCCACGGACGCCCGAGTCGGTCTAGTAATTAGCACACCAGCTATTTTCTTGACCCCACCACGCTAGCACGCCAGCTAGCCACGGTCCCTTTCCCTACAAGCACTCCAGCTCGTTAGTGAATGGCGACCGCAATAGATCCTCACACCAGAGGAGACTGGCGTATCTGTGGCTGCGGGAATAAAATTTCAGGGAAAGACACCCACCCGGTGTGGTTTGGGGGTTGACCACGCCAGGTTAGCCCTCGAGATTCCCGGGTCCTGTGGGCACTGCAAAGTGTTCACGGTCAAAAGCCTCAGACGCAGGCTAGCCCGCCAGGCTAGCCTCTCAGACCGTGACCCATTTCTCCCCGCCGCTGCCCAAGGGGCTGCCGCGGAGGAGGATGAGGACATGGCTGGGGAGGTCCCGGAGACTAGCTACGACTGCGCTGCCCAGTGCGAGCAGCTCCGTGTCCCCCCGTTTCCCGAGGAAGACGTGCTGGATGTCAGCCTCATGGAGGAGGATGACGACACCTCGTTCCTCATATCAGAGGACGAGGAGGAGGATGACACCTTCATGGCACCAGCCCAGGCTGAAAAGCCAAAGCTGCCGAGCTCTTCCACCAGGGAAGACAGGGGAGCGAGCTCAGCGGCTCCCTCCCTCCACGTGGACCTGCTCGACATGTGCAAACGTGCGGCAGAGAAACTGGAGGTCCCCTGGCCGATTGCAGTAGCAGAGCCCACTCAGTCTCGCTACGAAGGCAAACGGCTTCCCCTGGCACGGAATGCGGTGAAGCAGCTTCTTCCTGTCTTCCCCGAGTTGCTGACTGAGCTGTCCAGGACATGGACTAACTGCCCATACAGCAACAGGAGTCCCATTTCGGGCGCAGCATCCCTCGATGGCGAGGCGATGGACGCCCATGGTCTCCTCTCTATGCCTCCGGTGGAAGTCCCGGTAGCTGCGCATCTCTGCCCGGGCAGCACGAGCCAGCTATCCGCGGCTTCCCCCAGGCGCCCGACGCTGCCGGCTAAGCCCGATCGGTTTCAGTCTGCACTGACCGAAAGGGCTTGCAAAGCAGCTGCCCTCTCGGCCAGAGCTCTCAGCGCCCTCTCCATCCTCACTGCCTACCAGGCAGAGTTGTTTGGCGCGTCCGCTGAAGAGCAAGACCCGGACGCGTGGGAGGAAATGGCGGTCATCGCCGATTTGTCTCTCCGCATCCAGCGTGTCTCAGTCCAGGCCACGGGCAAAGTGATGGCAACCCTCGTTGTTCAGGAGCGAGCGAGATGGCTCAGCCTCGCTAACCTGACAGACAGGGAGCGGGACGACATTCTGGATATGCCGATTGTCCCTGAAGGCATCTTCGGCTCCGCATTGGCCACAATGCAGCAGAGATGCGAAGCAAAGAAGAAGGACAACGAAGCCCTCAAACTTTGTCTCCCTCGGAAGCCCCCTGTGCCTTCATCTCCAGTGCAGCGCAAAACTTTTGCACAAGCTGCCTCCCAGCCGCCGCATTTCAAAATGCCAAGACGGCCACCACCACCTGGCCCGCCCCCTCCTATGAGGAAGGAGCGCGGAGCCGGCTGGCACGGAAAATCCGCCTCCCCGACCGCTGCCCCGCCGCCGCGCACAGCCGCCGCGAACCCGGTCCCCCAGGCGAGGAAGAAAAAGAGAGCGGCCTGACAGCCGCCCTCTCTTCAGATGGTGCAGCCTGCCGTTCCCCGTTGCGCAGGCCCTCCGTTTTGGCTCGTTCGTGTGCGCCCCGTGCCACCGCTGCCCATTCTAAAGCCGGTCCGCGAGGAAAAGGACATCGCCTCGGAGATTTGCGCTGTTGCGCCCCGAGCAGAATGTCCACAAGCACACACATACACACACGTTCGGAGGATGAACGGTGTGAAAATAAAAATAAATCTGTCACAACCAGGCCACGAGCCGAGGGTGCAGATAACAAAAAAAGCCAAAACAAACAAAGCTCCATCCATAAGCAGGGTGGCCATTCAGCCCCCTGCAGCCCTGCTCCCGGGATGGGCGCCACCATCCCCGGAGAGCAGAGCGAGGCGCCCCGCCGCACCTGCGGTGACGCCCGGGGATCATTTCCCGGTTCCACCACAGGGGGGCGCGGGGCAGGAGCCGCAGTATGCTTCTCCGCTTTCTCTCAAATGGAAAAGCTGGAAAGCAGCAGCGGCTCCTCCGTGGGTATTACGCACAATCTCCCGGGGATACAGGCTTCAGTTCTCCACTGTCCCTCCCCGTTTCTCCGGCGTAATACACTCACAAGCACAGGGAGAATCAGCTCGAGTCTTACAGGAGGAAATCCCCTCTCTGATAGACAAACGAGCAGTTTCTGTTGTATCTCCCGAACAGAGTCTGTCAGGATTTTACTCCAGATATTTCCTCGTCCCCAAACGGGGGGGGGAGAGGAATCCGCCCTATTCTGGACCTGCGGGCCCTGAACAAATTCCTGAGGAAATACAAGTTCAGGATGCTGACACATGCAGCACTGCTGCGTCTAGTAAGACCGAACGACTGGTTTTCGTCCGTGGATCTGAAAGACGCGTATTTCCACATTCCCATTTACCCCCCTCACAGACAATATCTCCGATTTGCCTTTCAAGGGGTGTGCTACGAATACCGTGTTCTACCATTCGGTCTATCTCTCAGCCCAAGGGTTTTCATACGGTGCACAGAAGCCGCCGTAGCCCCGCTCAGACGCCGGGGGATACGTCTGGCCACGTATTTGGACGACTGGCTCATGTTAGCGCAATCAGAACAGGAAGCCAGGGTTCACACAAATATTGTCACATCACACCTGATGGATTTGGGTTTTGTGATAAATACGGAGAAGAGCCACCTGTCTCCGACGCAGGAGATATGCTTTCTGGGGCTATCCCTGCGCTCTGTACCGTTCACAGCTCGCCTGTCGGACGAGAGAGTGACAACTTTCAGAGCTTGCCTTGTGCACTTTCGTCGGCACAGATCTGTCCAGTTCAGACTGTCTTCGGTTGCTGGGTCTGATGGCCTCAGCCATCCTAGTGATTCGCCTCGGCCGTCTTCACATGCGAGACTTTCAGCGCTGGGTTGCTTCGCTCCGGATGGACCCCGTGCGTCATGGCGCTCGGTGGATAACGGTCACGGTGGACTGTGTAACAGCTCTGCGCTGTTGGCGAGCCCCGTCTTTCCTGACTCAAGGGGTACCCATGGGCACCGTCTCGTCCAGGAAAGTTGTGACCACAGATGCCAGCCTATCCGGCTGGGGCGGCATTCACGAGGGCAGGTCTGCGAGGGGTTGCTGGAGCCAAGCTCTCCAGCGCCTTCACATAAACTTTCTAGAACTCTCGGCTGTGTTTCTTTCCCTGAGACAGTTCCTCCCATGCCTCTCGGGTCACCATGTTCTGGTGAGGACAGACAACACAACAACAGTGGCGTATATCAACCGCCAAGGGGGCTTGCGCTCTCGTATGCTGCACGATCTGGCACGCAAACTGATCCTCTGGAGCAGTGCCCATTTTCTCTCCCTGAGGGCGACGCACGTCCCGGGAGACTTGAACACAGGTGCGGACCTGCTGTCCAGGGGCGCGCCAATGTACGGGGAATGGACGCTGCATCCGCAGGTCTTGGAACAGATATGGGCGCGCTACGGCCGCGCCAAGATAGATCTGTTCGCGTCCAGGGAAAACGCACAGTGCGAGCTGTTTTTCTCTCTACGCAATCTGAATGCCCCCCTGGCCGTAGACGCACTAGCGCACGCCTGGCCGCACGAGCTGCTCTACGCGTTCCCCCCGCTGGCCCTGATACCCCCTACTCTCGCCAGAGTGAGGGCATACAATCACAAGATGATCCTGATAGCTCCACACTGGCCAGCACTACACTGGCTAGCGGAGATATTCCAGATGCTGTGCGCCCAGCCTTGGCGGCTGCCGCTGCGCAGGGACTTGCTCTCGCAGGGGGGGGGGACAGTGTTCCACCCGCACCCGGAGCGACTGCAGCTGTGGGCTTGGCCCGTGAGTGGCTCAATTTGACCACTGCTGGGCTCCCTCAGAGGGTAGTTAATACTATCCAAAACGCCAGGGCTCCCTCCACTAGGTCTCTATATGGCTCCAAGTGGGGAGTGTTTGAGCGGTGGTGTCTTGAACGGGACTACATTCCCTTTCAGTGTTCTGTACCAGCGATTCTGTCGTTTTTACAGGACCTGATTGATAAAGGAAAAGCATTTTCCACAGTTAAGGTCTATCTGGCAGCTATATCAGCTTGCCATATAGGATTTGGGGACAAAACGGCGAGCCAACAACCTTTGGTGTGCCGGTTTATGAAGGGCGCGCGCAGGCTCCTCCCTGTCTCCAGACCTTTGCTGCCCCCGTGGGATTTGGCGGTGGTTCTGGAGGGGCTTAAAGGGCCCCCATTTGAGCCATTGCTGGGAACCAGTCTCAAACATCTGTCCCTTAAGACGGTGCTGTTACTGGCTCTTCCCTCTGCAAAACGAGTCAGCGACATTCATGCGCTCTCTGTGAACCCCGCATGTACCCGGTTCGCCCCGGGGAACACACGTATGGTTCTAAAGCCCAACCCAGCTTTTGTTCCTAAAGTGGTTGGTTCTTGTTCACCGATCGAGCTTGCGGCGTTCTCCGCTTCTCCCGGTGAGCAGCGAGCGCACACGCTGTGCCCTGTTCGAGCTGTGCGCTCTTATATGGACAGGACACAGAACATCAGGAGGAGTGATCAGCTCTTTGTCTCCTGGGCTGAACCCCGTAAGGGACAGCCGATCACAAAGCAGCGCCTCGCCCACTGGGTGGTGGAGGCTATAGCTTTGGCGTATGGAAGCAGGGGTCTGCAGCCCCCGGCGGGTTTGCGTGCACACTTTACCCGCGGGATGGCCGCGTCCTGGGCGTTATTTAGGGGAGTGTCCGTTCAGGACATTTGTTCAGCAGCGAGTTGGTCCTCGCCTCTGACTTTTGTACGGTTCTACATGCTTGACGTGTCTGGACCTTGCGTGGCCAGTGCGGTCCTAGAGTCATAACTGAACCAATGGACCCTCCCCTCCGGCCGGTACTTCGATAAGCTGTCTGGCAATACGGGAGCTACCATATCCCATAGCGAGACACCGAATGAATATTATGAAAAAGAACGTTTGGTTATCTAACATAACCTCAGTTTTTAGAATAATATGAGCGAGGTGTCTCGCCAGACAACCCTTCTTGCTGGGCGGTGAGAAGAGGTTTGCTTGTTGAATTGAGGTGACGTGATCTGCGCACGCTTTAGTAAACAGGGTTACTGGGCGTGGCGATGACGAACACTTTCACCGGCCAATCAAGATTGGCGGATTGAGATAAATGCTTCTATCAGGGCTGCAGGAGGCTGCATCCCATAGCGAGACACCTCGCTCATATTATTCTAAGAACTGAGGTAATGTTAGATAACCAAACGTTCTCTAATGGGGTGAAAAGAAATTTGTACAAAAAATTTAACAATTACGAAAATAAATCCAATTCTTCATTTCGGAAATGTTGCAAACGGACCATATATGACTCGGACTCAGGACTAAATTGTGACTGATCAGTTGACAAGGGCATGATGGGAAATGAGGACTACTTGCCCTTAAATGCAATATGAAGCAGTTTATCCGTCAGTACTAAACATCCATCCATTATCAATACCGCTTATTCCCTCATGGGGTCGCGGGGGGAACTGGAGCCAGTGGTCAACGGGCAAGAGGCAGGGTACACCCTGGACAGTCCGCCAGTCCATCGCAGGGCCACACACAAGACATACAAGGACAAACAACCATCCATCCATCCATCCATTATCAATACCGCTTATTCCCTCATGGGGTCGCGGGGGGAACTGGAGCTTATCCCAGTGGTCAACGGGCGAGAGGCAGGGTACACCCTGGACAGTCCGCCAGTCCATCGCAGGGCCAAACAACCACTCACACTCAAATTCACTCCTAAGGGCAATCTCACCAATCTCTAATCAGCCTAACATGCAGGTTTTTGGACTGTGGGAGGAAGCCGGAGAACCCGGAGAGAACCCACGCAGACACAGGGAGAACATGCAAACTCCACCCAGAAAGGTCCTGGTTCCCCCGGGATTCGAACCCAGAACCCTCTTGCTGGGAGGCAACAGTGCTAACCACCACACCACCGTGCAGCCCCAGTACTAAACAGTTTATGAAATGTTCCACACTATGGCGCTTGATTAAGATGAAAAACCATAGAAATGTGTAGGGTAGGATGTGTGTGTATGTGAGAGCCTCTACGGTCAGAGCCTGTACCACTGTGATTTCTCCTCACGGCCAGAGGGCAGCAACAGGATGTGCAACCAGAAATAAGATGCTTTTTGAAATTGGCGGAGTTCAGAAAAAGGAGTCACCATCTACTCATGTGACTCACTGACCAATTACTGCCCAGCAGTGCTCTGTTGGCCTTATTCAGCCCTGATGGAACCCTAACCGAATATATGGTAAAGTTTCCCTAGTGGAAATCCAAAATACCTTGTAGAGCCGTGCTGTGCTCAGCGCTACATGAGTTTGACCAAACTTAACTGTTTACAAGCAAATAGGCATGTGTTTCTTTTCATCATTTAATCTTTTTTTGTGTGTTTTTACTGTGGGTCAAGTACAGAAGCTATGACTGTCCTGTTCATAGACATATTTTCACTCCTTTACATGTTTAATATTAGGTGGTGGCTGGATCTTTTAGGTTCAGAGGCCCCAAACCAACAAATGTCCAGGCAAGGGATGAAAAAAAAAAGAAAAATTCAAATCAATGCAGGAAATCAGGAAATGTTAGGGCAAATTTCCACCAGTAACTACCATGCATGGCACAGCTCTACATGGTATTTTTGCATTTCGACTATGGGCTGGCCCCACTAACCAGTTATAACTTTTACACCTACTAAGCCGGGGGTTCCATGGGAGCTGATGTGGCCATGCAGGCTGCCGGGCACAGATTGGCCGGGTAGTCAGATGAATAGAAAGCGCCTCTGTCAGGCAACCGTTGCTTATTTAAAAAAGGGGCAACAACGGACATCCAATTTAATTCAATCTGTGATCATATAAATGACATAATGCACTGGTCTGCCTGTCTTTGTGCTTGTTCGTAATTTGTAGTGGTCTAATAGACACCTAATAAACATAAATGATAAAAACACAATAGGGAAGCATCAGTAGTTTGCAAATACAGTAGATGAAACATAAAAATGCTTTGATGTATTAATTTACCATGTGGCAAATCCTTTCTTTTGACAGCCCCTGTCACTATAGCCAGTGTCATTTTGCCAAAATACAACAACTGGTCCTCTATGGGTGTAAGGTCATCTACACTAATCACAATGCTCATGAATGTCAGATGGATTATGCAATGCAGTTAGTTTAGATCCCCAGCAACTGTCACAGAGCCACAGGTGAAACTCAGCCAAAACTGGCATACAGAACCAGTCTGCTGTGTGTCTCCCTTTCCAATTTTCCTTGTTAAAATTCAAATTTTACATTGCTAAATGCTTGTAGCTATATTTTTTCCCCCCCTAAGACCATTCTGTAGTTTTTCTGCCTTGGATAGTAAAAACTGTCGTTAAATGAATGTAATCTTAGAAGTGCTCCTAATCTGTTTCTTCCTTTTTGCGTGTCTCACTATGACATGATTCCATATTTGGAGATGTTTGTGAGCGTGTATCTGATTGTGGTTTTTGGTTTGTGTAGTACAACTATCAAGATGTCCACTGTATGAGAGCAAAGTTAAAATTAGCAATAAGGATTCAGTGGCGATTGTTAGGATTAGGCTGTAAAACTGCCAAAATAGAATTAAAAGGATATGTTAGAGTGTGAGGGCTTACTTTATAGATGTGAGCTTTTAGGATGTGATGTCCCAGCTCCAGTGTCTGCTGTCGGCTCAGCTTGCCTTCTTGCCTGCTGAGCCAAAAAGCCAGGAGAGTGTGGCCACTCCTGCAGACAAACAGATACAACTATAATTAGTGTCTTTAGTGTATCATCTTTTTCTTGCCGCTCTTTCCTCCTGGCTGGGTGCTGGCCTACCTGGGATCACAGAGGAACCTATCATCCTGCCCCTCATCCCTCCACACCAGCCACTCCCTGAAAGAGGCGTGGTTTAACATCCTGGTGCCGTCACTTCGCCGAATCAGGAAGGAGGAGAGCTGCTCCAGGCGCTGAGCAAACTCTTCCCACTGCATTGTACCGCCACTTACGGAACCGGCATTCACCACCTCAAAAAGCTGGAGAATAAAACAAAAAGAGAAGCTCTTTTTAAAAACATTTGAAACTTGGCTTGGCTGAAAAATATTCCTCATTTCTGGAAAAACAGCTGCGCTAAAAGCAGCTGAGGCCTGTCCGGGGGGCCTGGCCCTCTCGGAGGCTGGGGGGTGGGGGCTCTGCTGGGGCGCTTTGGTGGCGCTCGGGCCTGTGGGGCTCAGGTTTCGGCCCCTGTCCCGTGTCTGGGGGACCAGCGCCTGGGGGGGGGGGGGGGGGGGGCCGCGGCGCCGGGGCCTGGGGGGGGGCGGGCCCCTGCCCCATCCGCGTGGGGGGCTCGGTTGGGGGGCTCTCTCTGTGGCCGTCTGGTGGGGGCCCGGTTGTCTCCATGGGGGTCTCCCTGGTCTCGGTGCTCCGGGAGGGCCGCTGGAGGACTGGGTCTGGGGTCCTTTCGGCCTTTTCAGATTGCTTGAGCGGGGCTGGTGGTGGTGCCCCCTACCCATGCTTAGCTGAGCACAATCTGTGTGAAATCTGGGTTGCGTGTTTTGCACGTCGGTGCTTATACTCACACACACACACACACACACACACATACACACTAACTCATTTGCCCAGACACACACCTTTGAGCTTCTGTGCAGTTGCCGTACAAAATTGGAAATATATCCTGTCTGTCATTACTACCAGTGTCATGGCGGCCTTCAGCTTTTGCTGCCTGTTTGTGTGTCTCTTCCTTGTGTCTGCTTGCAGGTGCTCCTACAGGTTCTTCCCCGGGTTTGTCTGCAGTATTTTTTTGCTGTTTATTTTTGTTAGTTCGTGTGTGGTTCCCCATAGTGTTTCTTTGCAGGTTCTCCATCGGCTTTGCCCACGGTGACTAGAGGACATCTTTCTACAGATACAGCAGCTGGATGGATGGTTTTGTTGTCTCCCTTTCTTTTTTTCTCTCCTCTATTCCTGTTTTAGGGATCTCTTTTTTTTCTCATTTCCTGTCCCCCGGTCAGGTTTGGCATTAACAATATTACTTCTGTAACAAAAATAAATTTTAAATAAATAATAAAGCAGTTTTGGATGATAAAAAGAAGGCCTCCATTGGAAAAGCAAAAGTGTCGGGCAAAGCACGGCACTGAGATTACAATTCTGTTGCCATAATGCTAAATATGACAAGGGGTAAAAAGAAAAAAGAAAAAGCAGCTGAGGCCAGCCAAAGGTGTTTTGTCTCTCAGTCTATGGAGAAGAACTCATCCAAATCAAATGGCGTTTTTCCATTAGTGCCTACTTAGCACGACAAGGTTTAGGATGATTTACATTACAAAGAATGGCAGAGAAAAAGACTGTCGATGACATTCATACGTGAGACAAGCCAGAAACAATAATCAAGGACATTGCTGCAACTATAAACCGACTACAAATTGGTGTTGGATCGCATGTTGGTTTGTGTATTTGACATTTACAATGTTTATCATTGTTGGTTAGTTGTATCATGTTATCATGTCATTGCTGCCATCGGTCCTACTCTTACTGAGTAGGTTTAACTGGTTAAAACTACTCAGCCCTTAGTGGAAATGCAAATATAACGTGCACATCCATGCCATGTCACAGGGGGTAGGCACTAGTGGAAATGAGCCATGAGCTGTCCAAACCTGCTGGTCGGTCAGTGGGTGCAGAGATGCTACAGAGACGTTTAGCAGAGGCACAACCCTTTGAAATGATGACTGAGTGGGAAACCGCATGTTGAGCTGTAGCAGGTACACCTCTGCTAGACTCACAGGAACCACCTGCAGAGACAAAAAAATGAATATATCTTTATACATTTTCACTCTCTGCAGCCCTCTCTCACCCTCCAGTCTGTCATAATTTCTCCTTTTATACTGCTTTCCACAGAAACCTAGCTATTCTTCTTTACCATCCTCACCTTGAAGCTAGAGCTTTTTAGGACAAGGTATCCTCGTTCTATCAAGTCAAGCGTCAATTTCAGGTAGAGATACGAGCCTCTGCTCAAGCTCTTCAAATGGCTGCTCAGCTTGGCCAGTGCTGTGTTGTCAAGACGGCCATTACTCAGCGACACATTGCTCTGGATCTCTGTACTGCTGTGGATACGCTGCATCAGGTAACCCTGAAAAACCCAAAATAGTACAGATACAGCACAAATGTACAGACAGAAAGACACTGACAGAGACGGTGAATCAAGCCCATGTGTATATATTACCTGTAGGTCCTGGTCTATGGTGCTGTTCTCCTCTGTTTTATCAATATAGATTCGGTGAAAAGGAAGAGAATGAACAATGTCCTGATTGAATGAAAAGACAAACATATTTAGTTACCTCTGAGAAAATATTGTTGTTTGGACCTATCAAACATTTATCAGAGCTTGCAAGTCTGATGCCTTGACTGTGACATAGGCGTATATAAACTTATTCCCATGCTCACACACCAAACATCACAGTTCTCACACTGAGAATCGATAAAGCCTCCTGTACACATGTTGTGCAGATTGATACTGAAATATCAAGTATGATTCCTAATGAGTCTCTTTTAGGATCAATACTTTCTCAGAAAAATCTGAATATTTTAACAAATCTTTAGTAATTTTGGGTAAATGGAATCGTTTTCAACAATTCACAGGATCTACTGCCCACCTCTTTAAGTCAAGAAGTCCTTCTTACCGTTCACCATCAGTCTCTTTAACAGTTCTCCTTTTGGAAACAGATTAAACTGTTTTATGAAGATTTATTATTGTTGTTATCATCATCATTATCACTATTGTTATATTTATTGTTTATGACGTTTATTTATTGTGTTGTTGCTAGGGCATCAAAAGAACTGTGAGATTAATAAAGTACTTTCAATTTAATTTAAATAAATAGTTTAAGTATGAAAGATGGCATATGTTACATACACTCTAAATTGTTTATTTGAGTTGCCATCATTTAAAATTCATATGAAAGTGCTCAGATGACCATATGTTTTTATTCATGGTCTTCTTCACAACTGAAAGGGAGATATAGTGTTACTTTTGGTGTCACTGGGTAGCTATAGTTTAAAACATTACATTTCTTCAAAATTCCTATCTTTTAACACATTAAGCTTTTGTTTTTGTTTTAAAAAGAATAGGTATCAGTATCATTATCAATAAGCTGATCGTCAAACTGGTGCCAATTGTTCGATAATTACATTTAGAATTTTCTTTCTTTATGATGGGACTGAACAATATAAAAACAAACAACTGAAAGGAACACTCTTATCCATCGTACAGTAAAAATGGCTGACATTGAGCCCCAGTGCTGCATTTGTAAGCTCCCTATCGCTTTCATTAAGGCATCAAAATCTGTCAAACACACTTTAAATACACAACACCAAGTCTAGTCTAAATGTACACAGAGAAAATTAACTCTGCAGTTATAGGGACACATTGTGGGTCTTTACAATTCGTAACTGTGTTGTATTTCGTATTTCTTTTAATTACCGTACACAAAATGTCTTCTGTTACACAGATTGTTCTTATACCTGAATATAAAGACCTTGAAAACAACTGTGATTGTAAGAGTGTGTGACTTTTAGATCGGGAGCTCCTCTTTTTTTCTTCTTCTGTGTTTTTTATGTTAAACTGTTTGCGCCTGTCCCATAACTTGAATAATTAAGCAAATTTATAACCGTCAAGATTAACTTTAGTTAGTTAAATACTTTTGCTTTGTGTAGGATTTGGAGCGTGCATAAAGCAGATACGAGTGCAACTCGTATCTTGTGTGCAGTTACCAATCACTGCAGGGTCCTGGTTTTAATTTCTTTTAACACAGATTTGTCCATTCATTTTTTTTCTATTCTAATGAAGAAGAAAATAATATTCAGACATATGACTTGATCTTCACTAAATGATTCTTCAGGTATCATATCTCTTATTCTGACAAATTAACATGACATGGCTCCATCTTTGATGTTTTTTGTGTGTGAGTGTGTATACCTGCTGACTGGTCCTGACAGTGGCAATGACTTTCAACCAGGAAGGAAATTTGTTGATATTTCTGGACAGGAAGGAAGTGAGTGTGTCTCCATAATCCGGCCGGTGAAACTCTGCTTCATTTAGCCCATCTATCAGAACAATAAGCCCTGCCCCCTCCATATGAAGCTTCCTCTCTGAGAAAAAATGCAAAACAAAGAAACATTGTGGTTTATCTTATTCTGTAAGCTCCGATTTCTATGAGCTTCTCGGAATTTTAATGTACCTCTGTGGAGAGCCGACAGTGGATCTAAAATTCCCCTCTGGAGTGCCAAGTTTGGATCCTGAATGCAGGAACGGAGACTGAGTACGCTCTGTAACTGTGGAGACTGGTGTAGTAATTCTCGGAATGCAGCCAGCTGAGGGGAGTCACTCAACATTGCCGCCATGTTGTGGACAAACTCAGGAACCAAACAAGTGTAACAGTTATCAGCTTGACAGAAGTGATATGACACCACCTGTAAAAGACAAGACAGGTTTGTCTATCAGACAGGGTTTTTGTCACCAGACTCTAATAAGGAGAAAAGTGGTGAAGGAACAGTAGACTTGGAATAGCAACATGTAAAAACTCTCACATGTGCTAATATAAAGATAATATAATTTTTTTAATGTTCGAAATACATGTTTGTGTTGATGAAATGACTCTCCCGCTGTCACTTGCTCTTTTTTTAGTGCTCTATTAGGAATTTGGTGCAAAATTCAGCTTCATTGGGCTCAACAGGTAACGAAAAATCACATCACACTGGACAGGAATTCCACTTGCTACAGTTAAACTGACTGATGACCTGTCCAGGGTGTACCCTGCCTCTCGCCCACTGTTATCTGGCCCATAATTATTGTAGTATTAAACTATGTCTTATTTTGTAATTTCTTTTTACGGTAACAAAATGCGGTGAGAAGCTCGGCCATCCGGGAGGGGCTCAGAGTAGAGCCGCTGCTCCTCCACGTGGAGAGGAGCCAGTTGAGGTGGCTCGGGCATCTGTTCAGGATGCCTCGTGGTCGCCTCCCTGGGGAGGTGTTCCGGGCTCGTCCCACCGGGAGAAGGCCCAGAGGAAGACCCAGGACCCGCTGGAGGGACTATGTGTCCTGGCTGGCCTGGGAACGCCTCGGGATCCCCCCGGAGGAGGGGGGGATAAGCGGCGGAGAATGGATGGATGGATGGATGGATGGTAACAAAATAAAGAACTGTGTGATTTCAAAATTGGAGGCTGGAGTAGTTTTACTGTCTTTAAAGGAGGCTGTTCCCCTATTTCCAGGCTTTTGTCAACCAAGCCAACTACTGGTATATATTTGCAAAGGAACCTTTGATGTCTTAAATTATGTTGCTAATTCCCTCTGAAATGTATAGTGTTGTGGAGGCTTCAGGAAAACCAAAATATGAGTTCGGAACCATAAATATTTCCTGTTAAATCCAGAATAGAATTTAAAATCCTAAAATTCTCCTTACATACAAAGCTCTTCATGGTCAGGCCCCATCTTATCTTAAAGAGCTCATAGTACCTTACTGCCCTTCCAGAGCACTGCGCTCCCAGAATGCAGGGTTACTTGCGGTTCCTTAGTCTTTAAAAGTAGAATGGGAGCCAGAGCGTTCAGCTATCAGAGTCCTCTTTTGTGGAACCAGGTTCCTGTTTGGGTTCGGAAGGCAAATACCGTCTCTATATTTAGCAGTAGGCTTAAGACTTAAGACTTTCCTTTATGATAGTTTATAGTTAGGTTAAGTCCACCCCTAGTTATGCTGCTATAGGCCTAGACTGCCTAGACTGGTATTTCCCATGATGCACTGAGCTCCCCTCCCCTTTCTCTCTCTCCCTCCCAGTGCAACCTCATTCCATTCACAATGTCACTAACTGGAGCCTCTCCCTTTCCAGTAGTCGTGTGCTTTCTCGTCTCCCTCCTCTTTCCTCTTTCCTCCCATCAGTTTCTGCCTTTTAAAAGGAAGTTTTTCCTTGCCTGTGTCGCCTAGTGTTTGCTCTCGGTGGGAAATGTTGGGCTTCTGTAATTAAATTCAGAGTAGGGTCTGACCTGCTCTGTTTGGAAAGCGCTGTGAGATGACTGTTGTTGTGATGTGGTGCTATATAAATAAAATTGAATTGAATACATTAAAAAACGTAATTCATCAACTTTTAATCTATCATCTGTGTGACAGGAAATAATACCTGTCCAGCTAGCTTCCTCTGAGCCTCCTCCTGCCTCCTTCTCATCTCTGGAGTTCCCGGACAGCTACCTCCTCCTTCATCTCCTCCTCCTCCTCTTCCTCCAGGGGAATCATGAGAGATAGCAACGGGCTCTATATCTGAAATGCGAGACAGATTATTAGCACACATGGAAGCTTTGTCTTTTTTTGCTAATTGTTATCATCTATATAGCACTTGTGTTTGTAATTGGTGTGGGTTATGTACTGTATCTAGTCTGGAGTATTCTAGTCTATTCCATCCATGTTTTCCATAATAGTTGGCTCAACAAGGCATCTGCTTTCTCGCTCCAGAATCTATTTTTTATTGAGCTATATTCAGAATCAGAATCAGAATTACTTTATTAATCCCTTGTGAGAAATTCTTTAAAGTTAAAAAGTTAAAAAGTTATTAGCAAGCTATCACCCACCTGTTTCTCACAACATTATAATATACAGCAATTTCAACAATTACACTACAATCCCATTTTAAACCAGCGAGCAGTGCTGACCAGTATATCACTGACAACATCATCAGGAGGTAACCTCCTTTCCTCATTGTTTCGTCTAGTTATGCCCACAACACCTCATGTCACCTAATGTCAGTCATAACCGCTCCTCATACCACAACAACTATGTCTTCTACCAACAAGGGGTTGGTGGTGTAGTGGTTAGTATAGCTGCCTTCCAAGCAGTTGACCTGGGTTCCGTTCCCGGCCAATGCAGCTCTTCTCTACTCTGTAAGTTGCTTTGGATAAAAGCATCTGTCAAATGCATGAACATCTACCACCAAATGGTATACAAACCCTGGTTTAGGTGGGGGTCGTTTATCTTTGAAATCAGCTGTAAAGATAAACGACGAAATTCAAACCCTGCTTCAGGTAGGGCCTGATGTAGTATAGAGGGTGCAGGAGGTGGAGACAGGACAAGACACACTAACATAATCAGCAAACAAACTATTTCAACAGCATACAAAATGCCTAAACACCAACCAAATTCAGCTTATAGCTATCAATGCTAAATAAACATACAGTCATTAAGAATAACAGAAATAAGCCAGGTCACCCAAGGCAGCCACATGGTTTCAAAGGCAAATAAAAGCTTTTCCCTCAAAAAAACAAGTGCATGAATAAGGTTTTGTTCATGGCTGAAATACATACTGGGGATCCCCTGGCAGGAAATGGCAAATGCAGTAAACTGTCATGTCCTGAATGAATAAAAATATTTTCTTCTTTCCAACTACTGTTTTGATGTTTTAGTGTCTTCTGGTCTTGTCATTTCCTGTTTTTATTTTGGAATAGTAACTGTCCTCTTGTCTCAGGTCACCTGCCTTCTCTAATGTGCTTCCACTCTGATTGTGTTTCCTGATTCCTGATTGTGTCCACCTGTCCTCATTTCCCTCCCTAGTCTGTGTCTCCCTTTTTCTTGTACGTCTGTGTTAATTTTCATTCACGTGTTTGTTGTAATCCTAGCCTTGGCACCGTTTTTTCACAAACTTGAAACCTTAGTATTATGATAAAGACTGACTTTAAAAACAAGAAAAAAGCAATTGTTTCAATCAGGGCTTATAAATCAGAGAAGAAAAATATGCAGAATACACTTTGCATCAGAACGTATTCAGACTCGAAAAATGATCTAAATACCAAAAAACATATGAGTTCTGTTATGCTAAAGCACATTTTAACAGAGCACACACCATTTTGAGATTCATAATCACTCAATCTATACTCAGTGACCATAAAAATTCCTAATAAATATCCACAATGCAAAAATAGGTTTAAAAAATGTAAACCTGTACAAAAGCAATTTATGTGGTTGTTTGAAGCCGCCATCTTACTTTCCAGTTTTTATAGACTTTGCAGATCTAAATTTAGGCAATTTAGTGTAGGTCAGTTTACATCTCTCAGTTTACAAATTTGTGTCTAGGCTGTAGGCTAGTCGACAAGTACATAGTTTTACTGGTTTAAGGTTGCTGTCTCTTATTTTTCTAAATAATTTTTGTATTTGGCGTCAGATATCTTTTCTGTCAACTCAAGATTAACTCTTGGGGAAACAGCCCCATAGTATGATGCTACCATGACCAGGCTATGATATATATGCTTAAATATTGAAAAAGTACAAAAAGATGCTTGTCCAAAGCGTTCAAGTCAAGTCAGGCTCCACACTTTTGTAATTCTTTAAAACTACTTTGATTAACAAAACATAGAAAGAGTGGACTTTCATGCATCAAACACCACAAAGAGCGCTGAGATCTCTCTGACACAGCACATATGCTATTTTGTCTCTCTTTGCTTACATTTTGGCATGGTCTGGTTGCCGGCGGAGCTTGGCCACATGTGGTTTCCATGACAACTCAAAGCCACCAGACGGGCGATGATGGCTGTTTTTCCAAAACCCATGTTGCCGATAATTACTACCCCCCTACTGGTCGCTGGGTCATCGCTGCACAAGCAAGCAACCATTTCTTGGAAAAGCCACTCCCTGCCAGTGAAGAGCCAATCAGATGACAGACCAGGTACTTCAAAATGGAATGGCTTCAGGTTCAGAGTGGGAGTGAAGCGAACTGCAGGATGATAAAAGAAGAGTATTGTAACACAGCTTGGAAAAATAGCATGCTGTGTGCATAAGTGTGTGTGTAAATTACCTCTTTGGTCCTGTTGACTACGACTCCCAGAATTCTGTTTGGGCATTCTTAGGGGCGTCCTTGAAGGAATGTGTCTTTGCTGCTCATCTAGATAAGTTAAATCTTCAAGGTGGGCCGAACTAGTGGCTACAGAAAAAATAAGAGGGAAAAACTTTCATTTCATCGTAAAAGAGCAGGAACAAGCATGTTTCTGTCATTAAAAAATAGAAAGCATTTTTTAAGTAAAAAGCATTGGCCTAGATATGTGGAATTTTCTCATAAAGTTGTAGTTTGAGGACTCATGGGATTTCCCAACAACAATTATTTGCACCACAAATGATTGTTGTGCATTTCCAAATCTTTGGAAATGCTATCTTCATTGAATAAGTTTGCTGCAAAATCAATTACACTCAATTGGTGAGCTTTTAAAATGTCAGTTTGTTTCCTCTCATTTCTAGTCTTTATGTTATGCTAGGGTGTATTTGTTGTGGGCGTTGTGGAGTCTGAGTTTTTATAAACAATGCCCAAAGCTATCAGCTAAAGTTGATGCAAAATAAAAATAAAGTGCTAATAGTGCAATAAAACCAGTGGCCACAATGGGCTTCAAAATGTTACTGGCTACACCGGACTCCCCCTCAAAATTTGCAAAATGTTTTCATAAAAGAGTTTTGAAAGAGTTTTCCCCATAAGTCATAAAGGCACCATAAGCTAAATCAACTTCATATTGTACTACTTGCCATCCTTCAATCAAATCTTTATCAATCTTTAGGCATTTGTATCCAAATGGCCACTAATCTGTTGCCACAATGGTAACCTTAAACCTCAGAAATCAGGCAACTCAAGCTGAATCATGTCTGCAAACACCCTCTAGATCTGTATGACAAAAGTAATCATGGACTTTGTAATGACTTGTCAGCAATTGGCATAATGTAATTATGTTTTTGTAACTGATGTATCCGCATTAGTTGTTACATACAAATGTGTATAAGTACATAGAACAGAAACTGATACAAATGTTGAATTGCTTTTAAAGTGGAGCTCTGTACGATTTCAAAGTAAGGTCTACAGGCTGATAATATGGATGTAAAAACCTCTAATGGATTTACGAACAGACAAATATCAACAACAGAAGGACAGAAAAAATCACCTTTTATGTAGTTTGAACTTGTTTTGACCATGGCGCATAAGGTTGTATACCACGTGTCCTCTCTGTCATACCCTACTATCAAGCTTGTTTTTTTTCAATCTTATATGACCACACAAACTACAATTTTACAATAATGACATGGAAGCTTATTATGGGACTTTAAAAAACTTCACAAGCCAATGAATGGGTGGTGTCACATAGGGTTTGCCAATAAAGTTATATCTAATGTACTTTCTGCATATTTGACCTATTTAGTAGCTCTCTAGTCTTTTATAGAGTGGTAACCTATAACTATTGTTCCTGTTGGTAAATGTGAAGCTGCAGTCTGGTAATCTTATATTTATGACGCACTACATATGAATAAAATGCAATTTCAACACAGAATTTTCATTAAAAGCTGTTTCATTCTCAGTCAGGACATCCTTAAAGTAAAAAGTATCAAAATCAAAAAACACAAAATCAATTTGTTCATTTGAAAAATGAAAGTTAGTCAATGTGGACATTTTTCCAAACTCATTTTAAATGTGTGGATTAAATATTGCCTCTACAATATGGTCTCCACAAATGTGTGGATGAAATATGGCCTCTGACAAATTCCAATGTTGACATGTTGATGTTGAGAATCTGTGTTTTCTTACCTTAATGTACTCTGTAAGTCGCTTTGGATAAAAGTGTCTGCCAAATGCATAAACATAAACATAAACATAATGTTGAACAGTGCTAACACTGCTAACACTTTAATTTTAATGGGGGACAAAAGAAGAAAAAAATAGGGAGAGTGGAAAAAGGGGAGTTAAAGAAAGCGTGGTGTTTTGTTTTTTTTAAAGATTTATTTAGATGTGTCTGTGTTTTATTACACACATTTTTAATGTCACAAAGATCCCTTAGAGCTGAAAAAATGTTTTAGAAACCATTCAATACACAAAAAAAGTGAAAAGTATGTTTTTACCATTGGTTATCTGGCAACCTTCTAGTTAACTGAAGACTCTAACACATATGACCCAGAAGATGACACAGCTTCACAGCTTGTGAACCTTTTTATTTCTCACATTTACTCATGTACAAACGGACAAAAGGAGTCTCATAACTACCAAAAAATCTGCTGACTCGTCTGTTCCAGCTCATGTGAACAATTAAAGCCTTCACTCAGTGTTATTGTCAAAAGCAGGAACATCTTTGTTTTCCCTTTCGGCTGTTGCATGGCTGACGGGGTGACA